GCCCATGACCAACAAAAATAAATAAATAAATAAAAAATAAAAAGGATATTTATCCACCTAACACAATATTCTGCCAAAAAAAATGGCTTCTAGAAATGAACTTGGCATAGTGAAAGTAACATTTGACCAGATCAACCTGTTATGTGAGCAATTCTGAAGTAAACCTTGGTAGGATATACTGACTATTTTAAGACTGTAATTTGGAAGACAAGAAAGGGGGAAAGTCAGATATAGACATTACTAATAAGAAAGTTGAACAGTGGTTTAAAGCCTTTTCTAGATATAAGGCCAATCATGTTAGCTCACACCTGTAAACCTGGCTACTTAGAAAAAGAGAAAACTTGAAGCCCCATGACCAAAAAACAAAAACAAACAAACAAAAACAGATAAAGAGAAACCATCAGAAGGATCATAGTGGTTTGAGGCCAGTTTACACAAAACATTATCAAGACCCATCTCAATCCACAACCTAGTTATGGTACTTCATATCTGCAATCCTAGCTATGCAGGAGAATAAATAGGAAAATCATAGTCCAAGGCCAGCCTTGGGCAAAAATGAATGACAAAAAGGGCTAGGGCACTCAAGTGGTAGAGCACCTGATTAGCAAGCATCAGGCCCAGAGCTCAAACTCTAGCATATGAGAGAGAGAGAAAAAGAGAGAGAGATTTTATAATTTATTATTTACTTTTAATTATCTTTAAGTAGTTGTACAAAGCAGGTGCCATATAACAAAGCAGTTTGCGAATACAATGCTTCTTGATTAGTGTCCCCTTCACCATTCTCAACCCCTTTGACTGGCTCCTACCTTACTTTTCATTGTTTTGTGACATATGCAATGAATTCTTGACTGCATTCTCCATCCCCCCATACCCCTTCTATTGTCTTTCACTCTCCTCTTTCCCTTTCCCTTGAATATACCCATTCTGGTGTTGATTTTGTTGGACCTTGACCTAGTCTTTCTAAAAGATTATACTATCTGAGCTCTCCACAGAGTATTATCCGTCTGTTAACTCATTTGTAACTACTTTCATACCATCCAGTGTGTTTACTTATAGGTATATAGGCACATTCTAGCTGTTACAAATGAGGGAAACCGTGCAACATTTGTTTTTCTGGGTTTGACTTAGTTCACTTAATATAATTTTGCCAAAATTGAATAGATTGAGAGAGAGATTTTTTTTTCTAGTCATGGAACTTGAACTCAGGGCTTAGGCTCTGTTCCTGAGCTTCTTTTGCTCAAGGCTAGCACTCTACTTCTTGAGCCTCAACACCGCTTCTGACCTTTTCTGAATGGTTTATTGGAGATAAGAATCTCATGGATTTTCTTACCCAGCTGGATTCTAACCTCAATCCTTATATCTCAGAGTAGCTAAGATTACAGATGTGATCCACTGGAGCCCAGTGAGAGTGAAATTTATTGGGAATAAAATCCTCAATATACCACGGGTTCTCAATAGGCCTAATTTGAAATTAGAAAGGATAAGGAATTCTTCCCAGGAGATCCCAAGTGAAGGAAAAAACTGAAGCTTTTCAGTTTCCAGCTTGAAACACTTCTCAGAAAATACAAGGAGAGATACAAATTAAATGACATAAAATAAATGATATTCCATGGGACAAATGATCTGTTATCATCAGCAATTGATGGGGGAGAAGTTTATGGAGCCAAGGAGGAAGAAGACAAGGGCTAATTACTAAAGATGACCTTCAAAGTCATTACAACCAAATCCATTTGTTCATATGTGGACAAACCACATACAAGGAAGTGGTTGTGGACTTAGACTGAATATAGACTGGGTAGTTAAAGACCATAAGCCATTGATTTAATGAAGGGAGAAATGATGTAGAGTTACTCTATGTTGTACACAGGCATTGTACAAATAAATATGTGTTAAATTGAAATCTCCTTTATTATTGTTATCCAATAATAATGAAGACATGAATAATTTATTGAGATAAATAAAAATATATTCAAACAATTACAGGAAAAATATCCTCATAAACATAGAAGAGACAGAAAGCATCAGCACAATATACAAATAGATAGAAAGAGTCAAATGGAATTTTTTCATTGATTAAGCAGAGTGAGATGGCAGTAAAAGGAGTTCTTGGAAGAGAAGATAGATAATAGATAATAATAGTGTACTCTGAAAGAAACTGACTGCAGTCTTTAAAGCAAAATGTGGAAAGCAAGGCAGTAAAACCATGAGTTAGA